GGATAACAACAAACAGACAAACACTCATTCAAATAAACACACACTCTCTCTCCCAGGAGGAACGTCAACAGCTGAACACACTCAGTTTCTCTCCCACACATCAGGATTACATCACTTCCTCCTCACACACACACAAACACACACATACACACACACACACAAACACACACACAGGTTCAGGTCTAAACTGATTTATTGCAGAGAGGAGTCACTACTGAGAATAATAAGGTCATGAGTCAAATCTTATCACGTGAGGAAGAGGAGGAGGACATGATGAAACATGTTTGGAGTTAACATTCGTCTTGTTTCTCTGTTTCAGTCAGCTCTGCTCTCTGATTGGTCGGTTCTGACTGAAGGTTTACAGTTTTTTCCAAATGCTAAAACACAATTTTGCAAACTAGGCTGGTTTTATCAAAATACTAAACACAATTCCCAAAACCACAAACTACCTCATACATCCTGCAAAATGAAGCACTGCAACCAAAACTACACACACACACACATATATATATATATAACATTATCTAATGACACACACTTCATTCATATCACCAGATTGTTTGTCTAACCAACCACACACTGTTGGGCGTAATGAAAAGCACTCTCATCTTTAGTACGCTTTAATACTAAAATACATTGTTCACATGGACAGAAATATTATAATATATATAAAAACAAGTCAGTGCAACATCTGCACAGCAGATATATTTACATTGGAGTGAACAAAAATATTCTCACAAAAAACAGAAGTGAAGAAGAAAATGTGCAGAAAACATACATAGAAAAGAAAGACCTGTGGTGTTTTTGAAAAGTTGATTCTGAAGAGTCCTCGAGGATCTTGAGTGTTTGTGAGCAGAGACCAGAACCTCCAGCTGGACCTCCTGAACCATGAACACTGAAGGAATCCTAACCGGGAGAAGCTGACTGCAACGACACCAATGGTGGTGAAGACAACAACTCCCATGATCCCACGCTGCTTCACCACCTCATCACACTTTATGTTTTGTTATTGTTTGAATGTGAGAGTTTGAAAAGTGTCCTGAGATAACTTCTGTTATGAATTGGCGCTATACAAATAAAATTGAATTGAATTGAATTAAACCCAGATAGCCCTGTTAGCTTAGCATCCAGTTGTGCCTGTGGGATTGAGTGAGCCGGTACAGGCTGACAGGCTCTGAGTGTTCATATAATGATAACCTGGATACAGTCTGCTGTTCACACACTCTGTGGCCCCGGCAGACTCTCACGCTGTCCCGAGCTGCGTTCAGCTGCGTGCAGGATCATTCAGCTCCGTCAGTTAAATATAGAAACCATGAGAACACCACGACTTTCCCAGCGTGCCCTGGAGCAAGGCAGCGACCCCCCGAGGACGGCCCTGATCAGCTGGGAGATGCCTGATGGGAAGGATTCTCGGACAGTTTGACCTCCACTGTCCTCGATTTAAATTTAGTCTCAGATCAAACCCAGGATCCCACCATGAGGACAGATAGCTGCAACGCTAACTGCTAGGCTGCTGTTAGCTTAGAGCTAGCTTCAGGTCCAGTTCTAGCTGGATTAGTGGGGGGGGGGGGTCTGCTGAGACGAAGCAGTCTGCAGGTGGATCTTACAGACGTTCTCTGTGGTGAAGTCTTTCCTGTCTGAACCTGAAGGATTTTAATCTGCTGATCTTCCACAGATGCATTGTGGGACTTTGTGTACATTAAGAAGCCTCGTTAGTTCCTCACTTCCTGCTCTGTTCTCCTCAGTGTGTCTCTCTGATGAACTGTAGCAGCTGGAGCTTCACACACTCCTGCACACAGACATGAAGGTGACTTTGTGCTGCTGCGTGGGATCAACACAGCAGAGACGAGACAGCCGTAATCTGGTGTCACATCTGGATTAAAGCGGATTAAATCTGACCCAGCAGCCACTTGGTGAGCTGCGTTCAGATGAAACATGTTTCCTGATGTTTACTGAACATCTGGATTAAAGCTGATCCCAGATCAGGCCTGCAGGAGACTGTGTGGGTGTTTTGGCTTCAGATCAGGAGGATTACTGATCCAGGACTGTAATTATGGCAGATTATCTCTCTGAGTCAGCAGTGATTTCCAGATTAAAGGTTTTTACTTTCTGGCAGGAAAGAATATAAAAACATCACACACCGTCAAAATAAAATCTGCTTTAGAAAGGTAACGGTGAATTTCCTGCCTTCTGTTCACACTCTGACAACAGACTGCATGCTGGGACGCCATTCACAATGCTAATGCTAGTCAGGATGCTAATAGTTGCTAATGAGTTTCCAGCTGTGAGGAAGAGGAAGATTTACAACAATAAAAGCACCACTTTAAATCAAACCATTCACTATCGAGACAGACGACCACCCACCTAGAGCCGGAGGATCTGTCCTAGGTTTCTGCCTTTTAACAGGCAGTGTTTCCTTGCCCTTGTCTCCAAGGTCTTGCTCATGGTGGTACTGTTGGGTCTCTGTAATTAATGTTATAAAGAGTTCGGTCTAGACCTGCTCTATTTGAAAAGTGTCCTGAGATAACTTCTGTTATGAATTGGCGCTATACAAATAAAATTGAATTGAATTATTATTTCACTTTATTTTATTTATTTATTAATTAATGTCAGAGAACCACAAACAACATTCAGATCCTTCAAGAACTACAGTTATAGAACTACAGTTATAGAACTACAGTTAAAGAACTACAGTTATAGAACTACAGTTATAGAACTACAGTTATAGTAGAACTACAGTTATAGAACTACAGTTATAGAACTACAGTTAAAGAACTACAGTTATAGAACTACAGTTATAGAACTACAGTTATAGAACTACAGTTATAGTAGAACTACAGTTATAGAACTACAGTTATAGAACTACAGTTATAGAACTACAGTTATAGTAGAACTACAGTTATAGAACTACAATTATAGAACTACAGTTATAGAACTACAATTATAGAACTACAGTTATAGAACTACAGTTATAGAACTACAATTATAGAGCTACAGTTATAGAACTACAGTTATAGTAGAACTACAGTTATAGAACTACAGTTAAAGAACTACAGTTATAGAACTACAATTAAAGAACTACATTTAGAGAACTACATTTAAAGAACTACAGTTATAGAACTACAGTTAAAGAACTACAGTTATAGAACTACAGTTAAAGAACTACAGTTATAGAACTACAGTTATAGAACTACAGTTAAAGAACTACAGTATTACCAGCATAATAAAAGCACTTCTATTTTAATTCAACAGCAGCAATGAACAGATCTGACCACAGGAGGAAGTTACTTTAGTTTATTTAAAGTAAGAATATCATAATAATAATTTATTATGATTCCCATAAAGGCTGTATTCCAGTGTTCCCAGCGTTCCCAGCGTTCCCAGCGTTCCCAGTTTGAAATGTTTCCTCTCACACTGATCGTTTAAATGTCCATATTTGGTCATTGGTGACATCACTGATGATGTGACTGAGACTGAAATAGAGACTCTATTGTTTCTATTGTTTCACATCCAGCTGCAACTGTATTGATCTCAGAACTGTTCAACTGCACAGGAAATATCAAAATAAAAGACCTCAGAGGACTCGCTGTGTGTGTCGCAGTGGAGGCAGTTATTGCCTTTAATTGATAGGAAGGGGGGAGAGAGGGGACGGCACCCCACCCAGATGTGTTTGATGTAGAACAGCAGTTATATGGATTCTCAAATGATGAGGAATAATTCGACCTCTGCCCCGTAAACTGCAGACTGCACTGTGTCTGTATTCCATAAACAGATATACAGGCAGTGCAGCAGATACAGTCTGTCAGTTTCATCTCTAAAAAGTTGAAATAGAGTCATTAAGAGTTTGTGAGCTCTAACCTGTGACACATTGATTGTAATGTCCTGTGTCGCTAGCTAGCACTAGCACAGTAATATGCTAACTATTATCACTGTCAGCCCCAGTGGCTCAGCTAATAATCCCCTGATGGAGTCAGAGTTCCCAGTGGAGAACATGAAGATGTTGCTCATCTGCTCACCCACACCCGCACCCGTGACCACATTACCCCTGTCCTCCAGAACCTCCACTGGCTCCCGGTCCCCTCACGTTCAAAATCCTCCTCCTCACACACAAAGCCCTCCATAACCAGGCCCCTTCCTACCTCACTGACCTGCTCCACCTCCACAACCCATCCCGCAGCCTCCGCTCATCTGATGCCAACCTCCTGACTCCACCACCCAGGACCAAGCACCGAACCTGGGGCGATAGAGCGTTCTCTGTAGCTGCCCCCTCCCTCTGGAACTCTCTCCCCAAACAAATCCGTGACTGTACCGACCTTCCAACATTCAAATCTCTGACAAAAACTCACCTTTTTAAAATTGCTTTTAATGTTTAGCTTAGTCCGATGTGTTTTTAGTGTTTTACTATTTGATTTTGTTTTTGCTGCTTTTATGATTTTATGTAAAGTGTCTTTGAGTATTCAGAAAAGCGCTTACAAATAAAATGTGGGACAGTGTGGGGCAGTGTGGGGCAGTGTGGGACAGTGTGGGGCAGTGTGGGACAGTGTGGGGCAGTGTGGGGCAGTGTGGGACAGTGTGGGGCAGTGTGGGACAGTGTGGGGCAGTGTGGGGCAGTGTGGGACAGTGTGGGGCAGTGTGGGGCAGTGTGGGACAGTGTGGGGCAGTGTGGGGCAGTGTGGGACAGTGTGGGGCAGTGTGGGACAGTGTGGGACAGTGTGGGACAGTGTGGGACAGTGTAGAACCTCTAACAGTTTATATCCTGCAGTCAGTTGACTTTATTCATGTTCATATAATCTGTGTTTATAAGTTCTAATGATAATAATTCATCATTATGTCAGTAAGTTTCTGTGAATGTCTCTCTCGGTCTCTCTCTTTGTCTCTGTCTTTGTCTCTGCTCATGTTTGGCAACCAGGGGAAAAAACTTGGCAGGAAAACCAGAACAACCCCCCCCAGTCCCCTCTCCTCCTCCTCCCTCTCTCTCCTCCCCTTTTCTCTCCGTTCATGTTCATTCACAGCTCAGTCGATCAGGACCATCACATCTCTCTGCACTCTTTGTCTTTCTCTTTGTCTCTCTATCATTCATTCATTTATTCTCTCTCTCTCTCTCACTCTCTCTCTCACTCTCTCTCTCACTCTCTCTCTCTCTTTATGTAATCATGAGCAGTTTCAGTTTTCTGTCTGTTTATCTGAGTGGAACCTCACTGATCCTCCTGCTGACTGCTGGTGAGTCCCCACAGTGTGTGTGTGTGTCTGTGTGTGTGTGTGTGTTTGACATCTTGTTCTTCATGTGATCAGTGTGTGTGTGTGTGTGTGTGTTGCAGCTGTTGAACTTCCTGTACACTCTGTGTGTGTGTGTGTGTGTGTGTGTGTGTGTGTGTTGTGTATGAGTTTACAGTTTAACTGTAACAGAACATGTGTACCCCCCCGCCCCCCGCCCCCCGTCCCTCCTGGCAGCTATGTTGGCGGTCGTCCAACATGAGCAGCTGATTATGTTGTCCGTTATTACTTTTGAATGTTTTTCTTTCAACGAGCTCAAAGATAAACTATTAAATATGAAGCCAGCAGCTTGTTAGCTTAGCTTAGCATAAAGACTGGAAACAGGTGGAAACAGCTAGCCTGGACACGCAGCAATGTGTTGTTTACTTCAGATGAAACAAACGTGTTGATTGATGCTGAGAAATTTGTGAAATAATCAATGAGTCGATCGCAGGAAGTGACAACGTCCATCCGTCCTCTGCGGTCAGCGTCTTTCTTGTGGTGAAGCAGCGTGGGATCATGGGAGTTGTTGTCTTCACCACCATTGGCGTCATTGCAGTCAGCTTCTCCCGGTTAGGATTCCTTCAGTGTTCATGGTTCAGGAGGTTTCTACCGGGAGCCCAATGATCCACAGAGGTCTCCCCTCCAATATATGGAAGCTCATTACTGCCCGTAAAATAAAACAATAAGATAAAATCTTGATAATTAAACAATGTTCATGTTAAGTTTAATGTCGAGAGTTGAAGTGGATGGTAACAATGTGGCTTCAAACTAGATAAAAAGTCAACGTATGACAGCTTCTGGCAGACAACCACAACGCTGCTCACAAACACAGTGCATTTCCTGTGACTACTTCAAAATAAAAGTCAGCTTGTTCTTTCAAAGGTCTAGTGTGGAGAATTTAGAGCCGCCTCGGATTCCGCCATGGAGGTTCAACATGGCGGACTCCGCCACTAGGAGAGGCCCGCTCCCTCTGTAGATAAAAACATTCTTTAGTTTCATGTGATTTCACAGTAATGATTACAGTAATGTGACACACTGGAGCCTTAATGTGAAGCTGCAGCAGTAGGAAATGTTTGGTTAACATTAGCTGGCGTTTAGCAGAAGTCAACGAAACGCCATCAGTTACTACTTTATGTTCTCCAGTTTGAAATAGAGACTACAAAGGTTTTGAAGATTTTTGTCGGGGTTCGATCCCGGTCCGGCTGCTAAGTATAAATACCGCACTCAGTACATAACGCTGTGTATAAATACTGCAGTACTGTGGAAGTTTGATGAACAGCTGGTTTGTGTAAATGTTGTCAGGATCATGTGACTGAGCCAACAAACGCCCCCACACTGCCACTGACCCCCCGACGCTTTTATTTTCTCAACTTTCCTTCCTTCCTCAGCCTCCATCGTTCCTCCTTTGTTACTTTTCTCTTTTCTTTCTTTCCTTTTTCTACCTCACAGGTTGATTGACAGCTGATCTGTGTGTGTGTGTGTGTGTGTGTGTGTGTGTGTGTGTGTGTGTGTGTGTGTGTGTGTGTGTCAGCTGGTTTTCATTTCCCACTCTCTGCAGCGTCGGGATGAATCTCTGTGATCGACAGGTTGTTAGCGATGACACGCTTCCTGTTTGGGAACAATTAACAGCCTGCCCCCTCAGTTCCCATCAGTGTGTGTGTGTGTGTGTGAGAGAGAGAGAGAGAGAGAGAGAGAGAGAGACAATACAACTATCTGACAGTGTGTGTGTGTGTGTTGGTAATTTGAACTGATCCTTTAATAACATGTTAAACAGCCTGACCTCATCCACGTGTGTGTGTGTGTGTGTGTGTGTGTGTGTGTGTGTGTGTGTGCCGTCAGGAGGAAACAGGAAACAGAGAAGAAGAAGAAGCATGAAGTTGTTTCAGGGCTCACCTGCTGCTTTAAGTAGAAAAGCAGACGAACAAACAGCTGGAACACAGTTTACTGAGCACATTTACTGCAGCAGTACACAAAGTACACAACTGAGGTGTTCTGCTCCACCCTCTGGTCCCTGTGGGGCAAACAACACTCCACTTGACTGAACACGACCACAGAAAGACACCACAACCACATCCACAACTAACAGCAGGAACAGGCAGTAACAGTCAGTAACAGGCAGTAACAGCAGTAACAGCAGTAACAGCAGTAACAACAGTAACAACAGTAACAGCAGTAACAGCAGTAACAGACAGTAACAGACAGTAACAGACAGTAACAGACAGTAACAGCAGTAACAGCAGTAACAACAGTAACAGACAGTAACAGACAGTAACAGACAGTAACAACAGTAACAGACAGTAACAGACAGTAACAGACAGTAACAGCAGTAACAGCAGTAACAGCAGTAACAGACAGTAACAGACAGTAACAGACAGTAACAACAGTAACAGACAGTAACAGACAGTAACAGCAGTAACAGACAGTAACAACAGTAACAGACAGTAACAACAGTAACAGACAGTAACAGACAGTAACAGACAGTAACAGACAGTAACAGACAGTAACAGCAGTAACAGACAGTAACAGCAGTAACAGACAGTAACAGCAGTAACAACAGTAACAGGCAGTAACAGACAGTAACAGACAGTAACAACAGTAACAGACAGTAACAACAGTAACAGGCAGTAAGCAGTAACAACAGTAACAGAGTAAAGAGTAACAGGCAGTAACAGGCAGTAACAAGTACAGCAGTACCGTGGTAAAAGTAAAACAGTAACAGCAGTAACAGCAGTAACAGCAGTAAGTAAACAGTAAGCAGTAAAAAACAGTAACAGCAGTAACAACAGTAACAGACAGTAACAGACAGTAACAGACAGTAACAGACAGTAACAGCAGTAACAGCAGTAACAGCAGTAACAACAGTAACAGACAGTAACAGCAGTAACAGGCAGTAACAACAGTAACAACAGTAACAGACAGTAACAACAGTAACAGACAGTAACAGACAGTAACAGCAGTAACAGCAGTAACAGACAGTAACAGACAGTAACAACAGTAACAGGCAGTAACAGACAGTAACAACAGTAACAACAGTAACAGCAGTAACAGGCAGTAACAAAATCTGATGTTTTCTTATAAATTAAACTACCCAAACTCCACTAATCAATCAGTCAATTAATCATAATAATTTGAATGTATTACTAATAATTTTGAGTTTTGGACAAAACATCGACTTTAAATATGAGGGACTTTCATTGTGTTGTTTCTGGCACCCACTGTGGACAACAGTGCTTCTGTCTCCTTGTTTCATTGATTTCAAAGGGAATCCGACCCGCTGGCAGATCATTAATAACTATATCAAGTATTTCTTTCACTGTAAAACCAGATAAGTTAATAAAGTGAGTAAAACTCTTTATTGATCCAGTAACTTTTCAGTGACACTTATTTTTATTTGTGCTATGAAAAGAAAAAACCCAGTAAAAAGGAATTAATCAGGAATATTTCTGTAACTAACGAACTGTTAGTGTCACCAGTAAAAGCTGCTTCATCAAGAATCTTTGTTTAACCTATAAAGTTGAGTTTGTGTTTAACTTTGATCAGTTTCAACAGTTTTGAGTTAAATGAACTTTACAGTCTGTCAGTCTGTCTTTCAGAGGATTCAGTATTGAACTGTGAGATGTTGCCGCTCTGTTGATGTTTCCACTCTGACCAGTTCCCCACTGGGAGTCAACCAGTTCAGCCTCAGTCAGCAGCTCCTGTACTGGGAGCTGATTTATGTCCGACCCCCAAACTCACGTCTCCCCTCCTGCGACATAAATCCTCCTCTTACTGTTTCTCTCTGAAGTTCTCATTTCTCATGAGTTCATTCTGACCTCCAGCAGCAGATTGTAGTCTGACGACTGGGAACGGTGCTCTGAACTGGTGAGGACTGGTTCAGTAAGAGTCATAAATATCACCAAAAACATCTCAAACTAAATGTACTTATGAACTTTCAGTTTTTAACTTTAAACTTTATTTCATGATGTTAAAAACATGGACGGCTGCGTACTCGTTCATATTTACCAGGGTGGTTAATAACACTGTTATTAACAATCTCAGAAATCCAATTTATTGTTGCTTTACAGAGAATTTAAAGGTTTTAAAGGATTTTATAGACTCAAAAACACGACTTGTTTATTTCCATAAATAATGTAGAGACACAAAGACGATGGATGCTGAGGGAGGAAGGAGAAGATCTTCAGGGATCACAGAGTTTCCCATCAGGCTGTGTGTGTGTGTGTGTGTGTGTGTGTGTGTGTGTGTGTGTGAGTGTGTGTGAGTGTGTGTGTGTGTGTGTGTGTGTGTGTGTGTGTGTGTGTGTGTGTGTGTGTGTGTGTGTGTGTGTGTGTGTGTGTGTGTGTGTGTGTGTGTGTGTGTGTGTGTGTGTGTGTGAGTGTGTGTGTGAGTGTGTGTGTGTGTGAGTGTGTGTGTGTGTGTGTGTGTGTGTGTGTGTGTGTGTGTGTGAGTGTGTGTGTGTGTGTGTGTGTGTGTGTGTGTGTGTGTGTGTGTGTGTGTGTGTGTGTGTGAGTGTGAGTGTGTGTGTGTGTGTGTGTGTGTGTGTGTGTGTGTGTGTGTGTGTGTGTGTGTGTGTGTGTGTGTGTGTGTGTGTGTTTACAAGGTGATCCTTCCACATGTTTATGTAACGCATCATAAATCCTCACTGCAAATATTCAGTGTAAATAAATCTTCAGTCTCAGAGTCCGAACTGACCCTGAGACTCAAAGAGTTCATTTCTGTTTCATTAAAGCTTCGATACAGCCGGACAAGCCCAACTCCATATGGACAAGCAAGCTAACATTAGCTAGATAAAAACCCAGTCAGACAATATGTTCCACTAGCTTAGCAGTAACGTTAGCTGTTGTGGTGTTTGTCGGTCGTTTGTAGACGTTAGCTAGTGTTGCACACTGTAGGGAGGGAGAAGGTCACCTGACGGTCCGGTGAGAGTCAGAAACTCATTTTATTATTTTCAGTCAATGAGTTGATGATTTCTAAGACATGAGGAAACAGTGACTGTCTGCTGTAAGGGAGCAGCTCCTCCAAACAACAATACGTCTGTTGAACAATGAAAACATGCAGAGAGTCTGAACACACCCAGACCGCCACCGACACGGCGCCGATTGAAGGCAGATGCTGGAGGATGAAAGGATGATGGAAAAATATACACAGAACCAAATACCACATGAGAAAGGCCTCGTGGAATATTTGAATACATCTTTTTGCTCTCAGATGTTTCTGATCACTTTCATCTGTGGGTCGTGGTTAGCTTAGCACAAAAACACAAAAACAGGGAAACTGCAAAAATAATATTTATTGACCAAAATCACTCTGTGACATAATGCTATGAAGTTATGCTAACATTAGCTAGCAGACAAAGTAATCTTGCTATAGAAGTTTATGTACATATATGATATATGTTTCTAATCCAAGCTGTGTTTAGCCTAGCTTAGCACAGTTGGAGTTACTAATGCTAACTTCAGCTAACATCCTAATGTGAATGTCGGAATATTCTGTGAAATCCTTTCAATGTATCGGTGAATCATTAAACAACAGACCAACAAGCAACCGCTGGTTATATTAAAGGAACAGTCCAGATGTTTCAGATGTTTCTGTTGTGTTTCCAGTGTCGGAGGCTCAGTATGACGACTTCACGCCGGCTCCAGACTACGACTCGGACTACACCGCCACCTTCGAGTACAGCTTCTTCAGTAAGTCGCACACACACGTGTTTCCCAACAGAGAGGGTGAATGTTAGCGGCGGCGCGTCCAGTGATCGGGTTGAAGGATTTTAAAGCTTGTCGTGGTGTTTTCAGGTAACGCCAGCAGCGAGGACCTGGACAAGTTCAGTGAACCATACATCGACCCAGAGGAAGAGCAGGAGGAGGACCGGGTGGACGTTCGTAGCGCCGCATCACTTCCTGTTTCTCTGGTAAGAATCAATCGTCTTTAACCTCAGTTACACCAGGTTCATATGAAGCTCCGCCCACTGTTTATTCTACATAGTTTAAACCTTTAAACCCGACTTAAAGTCCAACGACTCACATCGGGAAACTGACGAAGATCAGAGGATGAAAACAGCTGATTCAGCACATTACAGCTGTGTGTGTGTGTGTGTGTGTGTGTGTGTGTGTGTGTGTGTGTGTGTGTGTGTGTGTGTGTGTGTGTGTGTGTGTGTGTGTGTGTGTGTGTGTGTGTGTGTGTCCATCTGCTTTCTATAATGTAAAGCTGCTCTCTGCCAGCAGCAACAAACACTGACACTCTTTATACTCTGCAGGTCTGTAATCACACACAGATTTAAACAGTGGAACGTGTGTGTGTGTGTGTGTGTGTGTGTGTGTGTGTGTGTGTGTGTGTGTGTGTGTGTGTGTGAGTGTGTGTGTGTGTGTGTGTGTGTGTGTGTGTGTGTGTGTGTGTGTGAGGGACCGAACAAACAATAAACAGGATAAACAGAGTAAGTGGAGGACAGATCTGGTCCTCACACCACTGATATTGTTTTCTGTGAGTTCCTGAAGTTCACAGACTGAAAACAACCTCAGAGACTCTGAAGACACATTAATAGTGAGAACATCAAACCCAGCAGAACCTCGGTGTTCACTCGTCTCTAGTCTGGCTTTAACAGGACTGCTAGCATGTAGCATGCTAACACGCTAAAGGAGTCATTACAAATATCAGTAACTTAAAATAAAAACAGGCCTGTTAATGTGCTAATGGATAACTATAGAACATTAGCATGCTAATTAAACTGTAATTTAGCAGACTGTTAATATTCAATTTCAATTCAATTCAATTTTATTTGTATAGCACCAATTCATAACAGAAGTTATCTCAGGACACTTTTCAAATAGAGCAGGTCTAGACCGAACTCTTTATAACATTATTTACAGAGACCCAACAGTACCACCATGAGCAAGACCTTGGCGACAAGGGCAAGGAAACACTGCCTGTTAAAAGGCAGAAACCTAGGACAGATCCTCCGGCTCTAGGTGGGTGGTCGTCTGTCTCGACCAGTTGGGGTGAGAGAGAGAGAGAGAGAGAGAGAGAGAGAGAGAGAGAGACCGACAGACAGACAGACAGACAGACAGGTGCACAGCAACAACAGTATTGGCAATGGCAATCTAGCAGGACCATGGCAGGAGGCTCCACCAGGATCCATGAGAACCTGCGAGACGAGAAAGCACAAGAACTCCGGGGAAGAAGTGAAGTTAGTAACATGCATTAATGCAGTACTTCTCAAATAGTGGGGCGCGCCCCCCTGGGGGAGCGCAGTGAGGTGTGAGGGGGGGCGCGACAGGCAGGGGTGACTGACGGAGGAGGAGAGATGGAGAAGTTTCTGACAGGAGTAAAAAGAAAATCAGAGGAGACGTCAGAGGCAACAGCAAGTGACGGTAACCGGCATAAACCTAATGAGAGCAGGAAATATGACGAAGCCTACACAGCCCTGGGTTTACCGTGAATACGGTCGGAAATGAGGAAAGACCTGTGTGTGTTTTATGTTTAAACTCTGGCAGCAGACAGCATGAAACCACACAAATTAAGACGGCACCTGGAGACCTTACACCCCAGTTATGTCAATAGACCACTGGACTTTTTTTCATCGAAAGCTTGATGAGTATCGCCAACAGGCCGGTCATTTAGTGAGCGCGGCATCAGTGAGGGCGGGGAGGAGCAGGGGAGGAGCAGGGGAGGGGGGCGGGGGAGGAGCGGGAGATTTAAATGAAACGCACTTGCCCTTGGAGTCTACTCATTGGCAGCCGTCGGCGTTATAGCGGCAATGACTTAAACCGCAATGCATTGTGGGTGATATCCACCTCGGAGTGACCATCGTTGTTCACTCGCTCCCTCAGCCCTCCGAGGGTCCATCTCACCAAGTTCACTTCAGTTTACAGACAACTGGAACGACACTTATGATGGCGGCGGGGATTCCCCCGAGGGCGAGTGAACGACTAATGAAACGCAGTCTAGGCCTATAGCAGCATAACTAAGGGATGGTTCAGGACTCACCTGATCCAGCCCTAACTATAAGCTTTATCATGTGTCATATGTTGTCATATGCTATATTATATATATAATATATATAATATATATAATATATATATTATATATATTATATTAATATAATATATATAATATATTATATTAATATAATATTATATATTATATAATATATAATATATATAATATATATTATATATATAATATATTATATATTATATAATATATTATATATTATATAATATATTACATATTATATATTATATATAATATAATATATTATATATAATATTATATATATTATATATAATATTATATATATTATATATAATATTATATTAATATAATATATATAATATATATATTATATAATATAATATATATATTATATAATATAATATATATATTATATAATATATAATATATATAATATATATATTATATATATTATATATATTATATTATATTATATAATTTATAATATATATTATATGAGCTGCAGCTGTGTGACTGTGTTGATCTGATGATGTGTTTACTGTCTGCAGGACATCAGGACGCTGGTCTGGACTCTGATGATTCTGATCAGCCTGAACACACAGCAGCTACAACACACACTATGAGACACACACTCAGCAGGTGAGACACACACACTATGAGACACACCCGAGGTCAGAGGTCAGTCAGAGGATGACTCAGCAGCAGCAGGGTGTGGTGGTGTTTCCTGTGTCCAGCAGGAGGCGCTGCAGACACACACAGTTAAAGCTGTTTGTCTTTCTCTGATCAAAATCAATATCGATATCTCATTGCTGTTCACTTACATTTAATTGATCCGAAATGAAGGTGCCAGGAGGAAGGTCAGAGTTCACAGTGTTGCTGATGAAGCTAATGTCAGACTGATAATCTATAATCAGCTCAGGTTGATTATTGGACAGATTTTCACAATAAAACACTTACAGTCGAATCTGATAAAAGCTGCTGAATATAAAGTGACTCAAACTCTGTTCTGTGATTAATGTGTCGTTTTATTGATCCATATATTAGATAACATATTGATCCATATATTAGATAACATATTGATCCATATTTTAGATATTTTATTGATCCATATTTTAGATATCATATTGATCCATATATTAGATATCATATTGATCCATATATTAGATATTTTATTGATCCATATTTTAGATATCATATTGATACATATATTAGATATCATATTGATCCCTATATCAGATATTTTATTGATCCATATATTAGATATTATGGATTTCACTCATTGTTTCACTGACTGTTTGATTGTGAATGTTCTGACATCATGTTTCCATACAGGAATTTATTACAGATTCTTCTACAGTGAATTTATATTTTCATTAAAGTGTCTCTGATGTCAGAGACTGCTAGCTGACCTGCTTTCCATTGCATTTCTATGACAACCGTTGATCGACTCATTTCTGTTTTGCAGCCGATGTTGGATCAGTTCGATCCTGCAGAAACTGGTGTAGGTCACCTGATCGGAGGTAGGAGGTGTCGCAATCACCTCTGTGACCTTCGACCACTGCAGAAAATGGAGGCGGAGCCACAGGTTCATAGGTGGACCTCGGCCAATCACAAAGCTTCATCAGCACCACAGTTCACCGCAACAAGAACTTTATCACGTTGTTGTTTTCTCACTTTTTTTTATTGTTGAGACATGTTATTGAGACCAATCAGGATGTTACAGATTTTATTTTTTTATTTGTTGACTAAATATATGGAAGTGAATTAATGCCAAAACTGTGACAGCAAGTTTACGTTTACCTAAATTTTTGCTTTCCTGTAAATATCGGAGTTCTGATCAGATTATTTGTTTATGGATTAAAATTCTGATTCTGGTGAAACAAAACGTTTTTTGCCAGACAACCATAAACACAACATGACCCCAAATATAATTCCTTTCATGTTTTTGTTATACATTTTAACAAGGAGGAAAAAAAATCATATTTAAAAAATACACTGAATTCAAAACTTGTTCATATTTCTCTAAAAATATGACACACAGTTTTTGTCATTAGTGAACTTCCATACAGATGTTGATCAATCAAACACCAGCACTTTGTAAGCACTTATTTTTATCTATTATCGATTGTTCAGTCCATTTACTGTTTACCAAACTGTATTTTTATTAAAAAACAACACATTATTGGATGGACATAAATAAGTACGTTTTACATAAAGTAACAGGAATGTTTTTTTTTATAAATATAAATATTAGTAAATTACAGGAACATTAAAGGACTTCCAGAACAATCCACAGCAGCTCTGTTTCTCTTTCAATGTTCACTTTGAGATATTTCTTTGTGTTTTGCAATAAAATGTATAAAAAGTTATGAACCGTTTCCTTTATTAAACTAAACAGACGACTAATACCTCATTTATATTTTAATCAATACAAAGTTAGATATATTTTAATAAACCAGATCACTTTTCTAATGTAAAACATGTTTGATTTATTGATTATTGTAGATTATTTTTCTTAATTCCTGTTGCAGTGTGTGAATATTAATATTAATATTGATCAGAGATGAATTTTCCTGATAATTTTATATAATTCTCTGTCTGTGTTCAGTTTTTTTTAATAAGTTTTAACCATCAGACAGACCTAAGAGGCTTCTTTTGGATGCATCCAGTGAATTCTTAACATGAACAGAAAATAAATGAGCTAAAGAACGAGTAAAGTAAAGAGAAGTAAAACAGGAGTGTCGTACAGTGCAGCAGCCCTCGGGGTTCACACGTTAGCGCTTTATTTCTGGTGACAGAGTTTTGATCGTGATCGGTTGTGTCGGTTTATGGAACTCTGACGGCGTCGCCAGCTCACAGCGAGGGTCTGACGAGAGCCGAGAGGAGGAAGTGACGGCCGGACGCCTCAGGGCGCCGCGTTTATTTCAGTCCAGGAGGAATCTGCACGAAACCCCCGACTGAAAAGAAGCGGGCGACCGCTGGGCTGCGACTCGAAGCGGCGCCTGAACACGCTAACGAGGATGAAAACGTGTCGACACTGAACGGCTTCCATACAACACTCTTCTGTGTGGATTGCATTCAAAATGGCCGACATGAAATACCGGAGGCAGCCTCCTCTCTAGAGGCTCGTTTACAGCATTTTGGTCTCTGGAGATAATTTCAACAACTGTATGTGGGGTGAATTTTAATATTCAACTCACCCCTTTAAATGATATTCAGGACTAAAGTTAGGAATATTTAAGGTGTCAAACAAAATCTTCTTCATAAAAGAGAAAGATAAGATAAGATATTCCTTTATTTGTCACACAATGGGGAAATTCCAATGTTGCAGCAGCAAAGTGGATAGAGAGAAAACAGTATAAAAAAAAGGAGGAGTAGGGAAATAATAAATAAAAGCACTGTACAAGAGCAAAACAGTAAGAATCCACAAACAACAGATAACACAAAGAGTAGCAGCAGCAGTTGCACATGGGCAATACATTGAACAGTGAATATGGAATGGTAGTGCAAATCAACTACAACTCCCATGGTGCATTTCACTAACACATCCAATCATTCAATTGTTTACAATCAGTCCGTTCCATACAGCAGCTGAGGCCCATGGGAAGTGTAGTGTTTATACTGTAGCTGTATGATGGTGAACGAGCAATACACACACACACACACACACACGGAGCATACATTAACATTTGTGTTGTACAAATGTCACCAAATGAAGATAAAGTCTGTTGACATTTAATCCTACACACACACACTCACTCACTCACACACACTCACTCTCACAAACATTCACATTCACACACACACAGACATACACACACTCACACACACACTCTCACACACTCTCACAAACACACACACACACACACACTCACACACACACACAGTCAAGTTCTGTGTGTTTTGTGATTGACCACAGCACTGCCCAAACTTGAAAAACTGCTTGATCTCTGATGGACGCAAAGGACAACTCAAATCTGTTCACTTTTTGTTTTTTTATTTTCTTGAAGATGGTTTGATAAATTGGGATGGAGCAGAATAGGTTGATAACCTTTAAGATACAAACAAAATACATTAATTAGTTACAAATAAATCACTTTCTCAAGGTAATAATAAATTAATGTTACTGAATCCTCAAAACCAAACCAAACAAAGTAATTTAGATTAACCTAGGATCTCTACTAGTTAATAATTAAAGTACAAATCCCACAATTAAACTTGTATAATAATTAAACAATATACATGCTTTGTGTAACATTACTTCTTCCAAGATCTGTTAACATAATAAAGTTTTCAACTATTTAACTTAAATTGCACATTTCACCAAGCAAAAGTCATATAGTCATAAGCATGACCTCAACACATTCAACCAAATTCTGTCCTACCAGTTGCGTCTCTAGATGATCAGGAGCTGTGGTCATAGTACCTCTTCAGGAATGGGTGAGAGGGCCAACTGAGCTTTTACCAAACATTTCAAATGCCATGCACTCCCTCTGGGTGCGCAGGTGAATATGGTCCCAAGAGCACTTCCTGAGAAGTTAGTTCCACCAACTCTGTTGCATGGTTGCCCCCTGCAGGTTGGGAGTGCTCCTGGGTGAATCTAGGCTGGAGTGCTCAGTACAACTTTTAACCCTGAGTTGACACAACACCTCCCACTTGACCTCCTGGTTCTTCAACCCAAGGAGGTCACACCAGTACTGTGATGTGTTGATTTAGTTGCTCCATTTTTGATCTTGTTGTTGCTCTTCAACTGGAAGCAGGACAACTATCCGTCTGACATCCCTGTGAAGAATTGTTGCAGGTATCTTGGTTGAGTGTTTTTTGATCTTTTGAGTGGGCTTCACAGTTGCTACTGGGTAGCTGGGGAAGGATCGGAGATGTACATCCCTCACAATTCCCTTCCCATCAGTGTTGACGTCAACGACTCTGGCAAGCCTGAACTGACCTCTCAAGGTGTTCTGGTCAGCCAGCCAGATGACATCTCCAATTGCCACATTCCTGTGAGCTGTGTGCCACTTGGACCGGACAAACAGGTTTGGTCCTGCTAACTGGCTCCATTTCCTCCAGAATCGGTCAACTTCTGTTTGGATGATTCTTAATCTCTTGTAAGAGTAGCCTTCAAAGTCAAAGGTCCCTGGGTCTCCTCTGGGTCCAGTTCTTCCGAGCAGAAGTGAATTTGGGCTGATGTATTCTACACAGTCCTCCCGGCTCTGAGTCCTGGCATCAATAGGTCGTTCATTAGCGAGGTTGGAAGCCATATAAAAGAAAGTTTGAAACTCGCCCCATGTGAAGACTCCATTAACCCCCAGATTGTGCAAAGCGCGCTTCACTGTCCGGACAGCAGCTTCAGCAGCTCCGTTTCTGTGAGGTGAGTCTGCTGGATGAATCTTCCAGCTCCATTCTGTGCCGTGCTTGGATACTTCATTTTCAAGCTTTGATTTTTCCAGTCGGTCCAGAAACATGTAGAGCTCTTTGAGGGCAGCTCTGGCTCCGACAAAGTTCTTTCCAGGATCCGACCACAATTTCCTCGGGTGTCCTCTCAGTGCCGTGAATCGTTGGTAGGCTAACAAGAAGCCTTCAGCTGACTGGTCACTGACGAGGTCTGTGTGCATAGCTCTGGATGCCATGCAACAGAAGACAATTCCCCACACTTTGAGTTTCACCTTCTTTCTCAACTCATCCTTCACTCCGTAAGGTCCAAATAAGTCCACCGTTGTGTACTCAAATGGATTGGCTGGTGTTATTCGCTCCGATGGAAGGTCACTCATGATCTGTTGGCATCTTTGGGCCTTGATTCTCCTGCATGTCACACAGTTATCAACGATCTTCTGAGCTAGTTTCCGGCCTCTTACCACCCATGCTTTCCTTCTCATCCGGAGGAGTGTGCCTGCAATTTCTTCATGATTTGCTTTGTGGGCTTCTTGAGCTAGAAGAGTGGATACCCATGATGTGCAGGGCAAGATTGGTACTGCAGTTTTTTCTTCATTAAAGATTTGGAATCTTCCTCCACAGAGCAAAAGTCCAGTGTTTTCATCCCTGACCACAGCAAGCCTATTGAGTGTAGTGTCTGCCAAGGTTTCCTCCTCTTGAGCCGCAAGAAAGAGATCCCTGAGTGCATCTTCACACTCCATGATGGTAAGTGTAGCTTCCTTAACTCTGGACTTGATCTCAAGAGCTGAGGGAATCTCCTCTTTCTTTGGCTTGCTTGTGGTTGAGGTTCTTTCTTTCCTCACCGACAAGATTTTGGCTGATTCTCATCTTCTTTTTTCTCTTTGAGAAGTTGATGGAGCTCATGAGGTACAGTTTGTCTGGTTCGACCAGGTAACCGACTCCAAGGGCTCTGTTGTCTCCTTCTCTCATTTGGTTGGGGAGAATGAAGACTTGATCTGACGATGCTGGATGTTCTGAAGTAGACATCTGCCTCCCACTTTGGCCTGACCGGACCCACGGCTTGAGGAAGAATCCACCTGCCTTCAGGATTTCTTCGACTGTTTTGGTGGTTTTGTCTAGCTTTTCCAGGACATTATGGGATGTCAGGATGTCATCTACATAGGAATCCTCTTCAAGGACTCTACGCTCCTCCTCCAGGTGAGTGAACATGGGCAGCCTTGCTGTCTCTCTCATGGCCAGTTGTGCGATGCATCCTGCTGGTCGCCAATGTTGACTCTGGTGATGGCATATTCCTCAATTTCTCCATCTTCACTGTCTCTCCAGAGAAATCTATGGAGGTGCATCTCCAGGTCTTCAAGCCACACAGAATTGTACATCTTCTTGATGTCGCCGAGGGCAGCATGGACTCCTCTTCTGAACCTTAGTAGCACTGCTCGGATGGGATTAAGTACATCAGGCCCTTTCAGGAGAAGGTCATTCATGCTGATTCCTCTAAACTTCTGGCTACTGTTCCATACCAGTCGGACAGGTGTTGTGACAGAGTGTGGGTTTGGCGCCACCAAGTGGCTGACGTACCATACTGGTCCTTTCCAGTCAGCAATGGTCTCTCTGGTGAGTTTCTTTGCTGCTTTCCTTTCCACCATCTCATGGACTTGGGTTGTGTCTGCCGCACGCCACTCTGGTTCTTTCTTGAGCTGTTTCTCTGTCCTCAGAAACGTGGCCTCCACTGCATTTCTGTTGTTGGGCAGGGAACTTGGATCTGCAATCCAGGGGTATTTTGTGTCCCAGTGAGGCTCCTGACTGTGTGCATCTGACTTCACATAGCTGAGGCCTTGCCTGATCATCTCAAGCTCTCTCTCCTCGCTCAGAGTCATGTCTTTGCCCCCTGGTTGACAGTTACCGCACCGGCATCCTCCACACATGGGTTCGCAGGCCGCACCAATGCTGTCCCACTTCCACCAGTCCAAGAACTCTCTGC